GAGTAACTGAAAACTTGACTTATTGTGCCATCCAGGGAAATAAACTAAAAGAACTTGCTGCCATCGAGTTGATTCCGACTCATAACAACCCTGTAGGACAGAGTAGATCTGTCCCCGTGGCTGTCTGAGACTGTAAATCTTTATGGGAACAGAAAGTCTGATCTTTTTCCTGAGGAGTAGTTGGGGGTTTTGAACTGCTGACTTTGTGGTCAGCAGCACAGCCTCCAGTTAATGACACGACCTGGGTTCCTTTAACCCAGGAAAATAATAGGGCTGAGTTTCTAGGCCACTTCCAGGCCTTTTGTGTTGTGACTGTATAATCACTTCTCTACAGGGGTGGGGCAAGAGTGTGTATCCTTTTTTTTTTTGAAGGAGAGAGTTGAGGGTCTGTTCTAACAATTCAGCACCTGTTTATATGCCTTAGTTGGTTCTTCTCATGAGGTCTCTACAACAATAACTTTTTCCAGCTCTCTGCCACTCCCTGGTCCAAACCTGATTTCAAACCAGTCCCCATCCTGGTCTCTTGGCCACCCTCACTTTCTAACTGGCTTCCTTTTCTTGCGTCCATCTATTCTTCCCATGGTATGATCTTTCACAAATAAAATCATAAAATGTCTTCTTCCTGCCTAACGCCTTCCAATGACTCCCCATTGCCCTTGGAAATACAAACCCGGTGCCTGCTTCAAGGCCTTTGTAGCGGCTGTTCCCTCTGCCCTGTGCACGATCTCCCCAAGATCTTTGCACAACTGGCTTTTCATTTCTGAATGCAAAGCTGCTTTCAAAGCAAGTTCTGGCTTAAACATGGCCTCTTCAGAGAGGCCTTCCCTGATCACGTGCCAGCTCAGTATCAGCCACCTTAATCTACTTGGCGTCTCCTCTCGAAAGCCAGAGTCACTGCCATCCAGGCAGCACAGGCTCACAGCGAGCCTAGAGGGCAGGCTAGAGCTGCCCCTGCGGGTTTCCCAGGCTGTGACTTAATGGGAGTAGAAAGCCCCTTGTGACTGTTCATGGGAGTAGAAATCCCCATGTGATGTTTATGGGAGTAGAAATCCCCATGTGACTGTTTATGGGAGTAGAAATCCCCATGTGACTGTTCATGGGAGTAGAAAGCCCCTTGTGACTGTTCATGGGAGTAGAAAGCCCCATGTGACTGTTACTGGGAGTAGAAAGCCCCATGTGACTGTTCCTGGGAGTAGAAAGCCCCATGTGACTGTTCCTGGGAGTAGAAAGCCCCATGTGACTGTTTATGGGAGTAGAACACCCCATGTGACTGTTTATGGGAGTA